ATGGTGAACTGTGAGGAGCGTGAACTGGGTATGATGAGTCGAAGGGGTTGTACATATCATCTTTCCAATCTGAGAAGTGGTGTTCGTATGTTTAGCTACAGTAATGGAACGTTTGAAGTTGTGTTTCCACCTCTTTTGGATTATTTTATTGTTGAACAAGAGGCTATTAGATTACTCATTCCTGTGGATGAGGCATTAAATTGTCGTACAGCTCAGGATTTTTTGCAAGTTCGTGGTGACCCTTTAGATCTTAGAAATGAACCTAATATAAAGTTAAAAGATACGGGGGATTATCTAATGTATCCACTTATGGCTTTCAATGTCCAACCCATTGTGGAGGCTGCCTATGTGGATGCTACAGCAAATGCAGGAACTATTGTGTCTATGCTTTCTGTGTTAAGTGCCCCTTTTGGAGTTGTGGGTATGAATTATATAACAGTGTTAGCTATGATGCCATGTACACCAGATAGTACTCGTTATATCTTATCTAGTTATCGAGCTCTTTCTTTAATTACGTTTGAGAATTCCTTCTATGGTGTTATGTTAGGTAATTTGATTCTTGCCGTTGCCGTCTTTCTGGTCCATACAGTAATTCTTATTGTATTAAAGTTTGTTCGTCATACTACTTTAGCAATGGCAGCTTCTCGATGTTGGTATCCAGGTATTACTTTGGTAGTATTAGTGAATCTTTTTGTTGGGACTAGTTTTGCAACCTTGCAAGGATTTTCATCTAAGAATGGCTCTACGATTGCGCTTAGTGTAGTAATGCTTCTTGTGTTTGTTATTGGGATTCCCTTTATACTTGTTATTCTGACGATAAAAATGCGTGCCAAATATTATCCTCTCAAGACATTACCACCAACCACCATAGATGCAAAAGATAAGTTTGTTATGTCTATTGCTAATAGTTGGTTTGTACGTATACGTGGTATTTGGTTACCTAGTTCTATAGCAGATCGTTTATTCTTAATATTATTTAATTTACAACGATCTCGTATTATTTGGGTAACCCTATGGCTTTGGGCACCTTTTGTTGTATCTGTTATTAGTGCTTTTCCAGCCATTTCGGCTAATGGATGTACGGCTGTTCATGCCGTACTTGTTTTTATTCATTTGATATTATTTATGGTAGTGGCGGTATTCTCTCCACTCATCTCACCTCTTGATAACACCTATTATCTTGTGGTGATGTTGGTAAGTATATGTACACTCTGTGGAAGTATGGTGCTTCTGCATGACCCGGATAGTTGGAGAGCCGTTATCGTTATCTGTGTTGCCGCCATTGTCGCTATTATTGTATTTATTCTTTATATTCTATTGAAAATTTTTCAAGTGGTGATATTTGCGAGAAGAAAATGGGCAGATGTGGATGTGCGACTCACTCCATTGAGTCGATATCGTGAATCGAATCAAGATAATTCTTTTTCTCGTGAAATAACAGAACAGCAACGAGAACAAGGCTCTCATTCGCATGAAGGAGGAGAAGGAGAATCATTAGGTTTAGCTGCTCCTATACTCGCCCCTCGTATGCAAACCTTTGTGGAACGAACAATAGATTTAGGACCGAATGAACGTATTATTCCTGGAGAACAAATCGCCCAACATTTGGTAGATGGATTAATGACAGAGAATGCACTTGCGGCAGTGGAGTTGGGTCGTCCTTCTCTTCCATTACAGGAAGTGTCTTCACGTGTGGCCCGTCAACTTCCAACAGGGAGTTGGCCTTCCTGTAGTACATTATCTCTCTCATTAGATACTATAGATGGATCCTTACAGTTTAGTGAGGAGTCTGATAATGGGGGTGAGGATTCCTGGAATCATGGAGTTTAGTAATTCGTAATCTTCATTACTAATTACTAGTGGTGTTGGTGATGGTGTTGTTGGTGAATTCTCTCTAATGTGTGATGACTTAATATCGTAAGGGGAAAAGAAAAAAGAAGAAAAAGGTGCGAATAATACACTATATATATATATTTAAGAGTTTTTTTTTTTTTTTTTTTTGTTTGTTGTTATAACACTCAACTAGTATTTCGTGAGGTAATGAATTGAAAATAACTATAATATCACTATTTAATTGTAGTTGTCGTTGTTGTGATTTATTTCTAATGATATCATAGTTTTCTCCACGCGGTTTTTTATTTTTTATTTATTTATGTTAGCGTGTGATGTCAAGCATATTGTAATTTATTTATTTTCTTTTTTTATTTTTTATTTTTTTTCTATCCTTTTTGTGTATTCGTAATGCCTACAAACTATTTTTATCCACATTTCTTATATATAATATATATATTGGATATGTAGTTCTATTATATATATAAATCCCACAATATTCGCTTCTCTTCTCTTCTCTTCTCTTCTCTTCGCTTCTCTTCTCTTCTCTTCTCTGAACATCCTCCTCCTCCACCACTATTCCTGTGGACTATTTGTATCACCCACATTTAAAGCGGCCCAAATCAAATAGCCCAACAACAAACAAACAAACACAAACAGAAAAAACAACAACAACAACAAAAAAAAAGAATGGCAAAGGGAAAGAAGAGCGGTGAGGCAAAGGGAACCCAAAAACGACAAAAGAAAATCCTCCGCGAGAATGTACGCGGCATCACCCGCGGCTCCATCCGCCGTCTTGCCCGCCGCGGGGGCGTCAAGCGGATCTCTGGGGTGATGTACGACGAGGTGCGGGGCGTCATTAAAGCCTTCGTCGAGGGCGTCGTGCGGGATGCCACCGCCTACACAGAGTACGCCCGCAAGAAGACCGTCACCGCCGTCGACGTCGTCAATGCCCTGCGGAAAAGAGGAAAGATTCTCTACGGATATGAGTAAAAAAAAAAAAAAAGGTAAACCCATTATTATGATGATTATGATGATTATGATTATATGCATATATTAATATAAATGCATGAACGTTGTCTTTCTCTCTCTTTTTTTTT